ATGATGCGCACATATGCACAAAAAATGACATAACATATCATGAAATGACCAAAGGTGATCTCATCTATACGACGCAAACATGTAAGCTGAAAGCAATAGGGGGGCCAGAATCCCTGCAGCCCACAACACTATCTCAAACACCCTCCCCCAAACAGCTTACTATATAGGCATTATATGGTAATATAATGTAACATCGCATCTTACATTTTCTTGCATGATCCTGCATCAACTTACATCTTTCACGCATAGATAGGAAGCATCAAGAAACCACTGGAAACCATAAGAAACTTCAAGAAACTGTATAACCACCAAATGAACTTGTCAATATTTTTTTGAATGTCGGTGAACCCATGCCAATCCTAGTTATCTACACTGATCTGGTGTCCCACGTCGTTTTCAGCAAATTCTCCCTCTCGTGCACTTCCACCCTACGCAACCACTAAAATGCTTTGCAAGATATGCCACATTATGATACAATAATAAACAATATGTCACCTTATGGCATAATGTGAGAATAAGATTGAACAAGAAGTAGAAATTAAAATGTAAGTTTGACTGTGTGGACATGGGCATCCTCTGGAAAACACCATCATTTTCAACACCTAAAGTCATCTAGCTCACATTTTTCAAACCACCGCCATTCACACCTTTCAATCCCAGGCAAACTGCACAAATGTAAGCTGAAAGCAATGGGGGGGGGCAGAATCCATGCAGCCCACCACTATCTCAAACACCCTCCCCCAAACTGCTCACCATATATATATATAATATATAATATATAGGATCTTGCTTTTTCTTGCATGATCTTGCATCAACTTACATCTTTCGCGCTTAAATAGGGAGCATCAAGAAACCACTGGAAGCCATAAGAAACTGCAAGAAACTATATATTATATAACTATCAAAGGAACTTGTCAATATTTGTGAATGTCGGTGAACCCATGCCACTCTTAGTCACCACAGTGATCTGGGTGTCCCATGTCGTTTTCAGCAAATGCTCCCTCAGGTGCAGTGCCAGCCTAGGCAGGCAGAAAAATGCTTTCCAAGATATGTCCCATTATGATTCAATATGTCACCCTATGGCATAATGTGGGAATAAGATTGAACACGAAGTAGAAATTAAAATGTAAGCTTGACTGTTTGGACATGGGGATCTTCTGCAAAACACCATCATTTCCAACACCTAAACTGTCTAGCTTACATTTTTCAAAAACCTCCGCCATTATGATTCAATATGCCACCTTATGGCATAATGTGGGAATAAGATTGAACAAGAAGTAGAAATTAAAATGTAAGTTTGACTGTGTGGACATGGGCATCCTCTGGAAAACACCATCATTTTCAACACCTAAAGTCATCTAGCTCACATTTTTCAAACCACCGCCATTCACACCTTTCAATCCCAGGCAAACTGCACAAATGTAAGCTGAAAGCAATGGGGGGGGCAGAATCCATGCAGCCCACCACTATCTCAAACACCCTCCCCCAAACTGCTCACCATATATATATATATATATATATATATATATAAAATATAGGATCTCGCTTTTTCTTGCATGATCTTGCATCAACTTACATCTTTCGCGCTTAAATAGGGAGCATCAAGAAACCACTGGAAACCATAAGAGACTTCAAGAAACTATATAAATATCAAAGGACCTTGTCAATATTTGTGAATGTCGGTGAACCCATGCCAATCTTAGTCATCTACAGTGATCTGGGTGTCCCACGTCGTTTTCAGCAAATGTTCCCTCAGGTGCAGTGCCAGCCTAGGCAGGCAGAAAAATGCTTTGCAAGATATGTCGCATTATGATTCAATATGTCACCCTATGTCTGTGGGAATAAGATGGGATAAGAAGTAATAAGAAAATGTAAGCTTGACTGTTTGGACATGGGGATCTTCTGCAAAACACCATCATTTCCAACACCTAAAGTAGTCTAGCTTACATTTTTCAAAAACCTCCGCCATTCACACCAGGCAATCCCAGGCAAACTGCACAAATGTAAAATCCATGCAGCCCACCACTATCTCAAACACCCTCCCCCAAACTGCTCACCATATATATATATATATGAAATAGGGTCTTGCTTTTTCTTGCATGATCTTGCATCAACTTACATCTTTCGCGCTTAAATAGGGAGCATCAAGAAACCACTGGAAACCATAAGAAACTTCAAGAAACTATATGTTATATTACTATCAAAGGAACTTGTCAATATTTGTGAATGTCGGTGAACCCATACCAATCTTAGTCATCTACAGTGATCTAGGTGCCCCATGTCGTTCTCAGCAGATGCTCCTTCAGGTGCAGTGCCAGCCTAGGCAGGCAGAAAAATGCTTTGCAAGATATGTCGCATTCTGATTCAATATGTCACCCTATGACATAATGTGGGAATAAGATGGGATAAGAAGTAATAAGAAAATGTAAGCTTGACTGTTTGGACATGGGGGATCTTCTGCAAAACACCATCATTTCCAACACCTAAAGTAGTCTAGCTTACATTTTTCAAAAACCTCCGCCATTCACACCAGGCAATCCCAGGCAAACTGCACAAATGTAAAATCCATGCAGCCCACCACTATCTCAAACACCCTCCCCCAAACTGCTCACCATATATATATATAATATATATATATAAAATATAGGATCTTGCTTTTTCTTGCATGATCTTGCATCAACTTACATCTTTCGCGCTTAAATAGGGAGCATCAAGAAACCACTGGAAACCATAAGAGACTTCAAGAAACTATATAAATATCAAAGGACCTTGTCAATATTTGTGAATGTCGGTGAACCCATGCCAATCTTAGTCATCTACAGTGATCTGGGTGTCCCACGTCATTTTCAGCAAATGCTCCCTCAGGTGCAGTGCCAGCCTAGGCAAGCAGAAAAATGCTTTGCAAGATATGTCGCATTATGATTCAATATGTCGCCTTATGACATAATATGGGAATAAGATGGAATAAGAAGTAATAAGAAAATGTAAGCTTGACTGTTTGGACATGGGGATTTTCCTGCAAAACACCATCATTTTCAACACCTAAAGCAGTCTAGCTTACATTTTGCAAAAACACCACCATTTACCAGGCAATTCATGCCAATTCCAGGCAAAGTGCACGAAAAATACTGTATCAAAAAATGACAATATATTACATAGGGTATTATCCCAGTCATCTATAGTCATTGAGGTGCCCAACGTGGTTCTCAGCCGATGCATGCCTAGGTGCAGCGTCAGCCTAGGCAAGCAGAAAGATGCTTTGCAAAAGATGCCGTGTTGTGACATCACTTACGTAGAAATAAGCAAAATGAAACTTGTACACACCTGGACATGGAAATCTGTTGCAAACCACCATTTTTTTTATCACCTCAAGCAGTCTAGCTTACATTTGCAGAAACACCACCATGCACCACTGAAAATGATTGAAAGCTGGGTCCCAAACTTCGGCGTCCAATGCCCCCCAACAGGCGTCCTCAGAATCCGGCAGCATCCGGTATCATCAGGTAACTTGATGCGAAAGTATGCAAAAGTATACATGCCAAAATATGCCAAAATGCGGCCTACATGAAAGGACATGTTTTAAACATTACTAAACCAGATCATGTGTCAGATTGCGGCAAGCATGCGACGAGCGCTTTGATTTTTGCACTCTCTAGCTATCTCTAGCCTTCTCTAACCCATCTCGACTCCTCACATCTAAAGTAACTTTGCCATAGCGCAGTTCTATTCTGTACACACCCTTGCTGACAGATCGAATCGAATTGATTCATACCACAAACTGGCAAATGACACTGTAGGCACTTGTTGGCCCTACAGGGATTTCACAGAAACATCTAATTGAAACCTGCCTTGATTTTTTTCATACCTTTTCATATCCTTTCATGTCAACTCTGCGTTGCGCTGCCAAACTCAAATCATCTGAATCCCAGACATTCTCAGACCAAATGAATCGCCAGTAGCAGCCGGCATCATCCAGCATCCTGTGTGAGCTGAGTTTGTCACTGGAACCTATGATGGATCCAGCACAATCCATCATAAACCACGCAATGCGTTGGCTTTTACCGACTTGCCCGCACTACCCCAGCCACAATGGTAGCCATTGGTGACGAACTGGAGTTCTATGGCATTCTTGCATCTGGTCAAAGCATATCTAATACTACGAGCACTGCTAATACTATTACGCTACTGCTACTACTACTACTACTACTTCTACTTCTACTTCTACTACTTCTACTTCTACTTCTACTTCTACTACTGCTACTACTGCTACTTCTACTACTACTACTACTACTCCTGCTACTACTACTACTACGACTACTACTACTACTACTACTGCTAATAATAATAATATAGAAAAAATAATATACATATATATCTATAACTATATATTCAATAAACAATTACAGGGTCAAAAAATGTAACTTACATTTTTTGAGCAAATGTAACTTACATTTTTTGACAACCCCCCCCAGTTTTGGACGTTTCCTCTCAAGAAATATAAGTTACATTTTTTGAGAAAATGACCAAAATGTAACATTATCTTCTTGACCCCCTCAACCCTATTTTTTTGTAACTTACATTTTTTGACCCCCCCTAGCTTAATAGGTGGGGATTACACAAGTTCTTCCTGCTCTGGCTTGTTTAAGGAGTTCCGTCGTTTTTTGCACATTCTGTTTTTTTCCCTACCCTCGGCATAATAGGAAGTGGTTGAAATATGTTGAAATGAGGTGCTCCTTCACAGCCATGTGATTTACTGTAAACAGTCATGCCAAAGCTTCTGATGCGCAAGTCGGCCCATGGCCTTTGACCAGCCCGCCAGATGGGGAGCGCCTGTCTTCAGTTCACCAGTCCCGAAATGTAATTCAACTGTAATGCTTACATATGCTTACATATCCTACATACTTTGCAGCAGGAACTTCCTTGCTAATTGGCAAGCTGGACCATATCTGGGAAAGCTCTTTTTGAGCTGCTGAACATTCCTCATGTTTGCCATGTTGGAGGCTACTACTTTCTCAGGGTGATGCAGCTGGCTATGAAGCCTTCACCACAGCCATTGAAGAGTTTCCCTAAGGCACAGGGCGCAGCACCACTCGAAGCTCGTGCTGCCACATGTCCAGACTGTGCATGCGTAATTTCGCTTGGGGAGGCCGAGGCGCCAGAAGAGAAGGAAGAGAAGGAAGAGGTGAAAGAAGAAAAAAAGGACTCATGACGACTCATGAGCGAGGTGGATAGCCATGCGAAGCCTCTAGCCATGCGTTCACCTGGAATTACAGGTGCATCCAAGCTGATTATGCTGCCACAAAAAGATGGTGGTAGCGCTGGAATGCAGCGCAAGGCACGAAAGGAAAATTGAACGTGTATATACACACACATATATATATATGTTGGGCTTCACGGTTTGCAGTTTGACTTTTGGCTGCCTTTTCTATCAACAATCCAACTTCAAGTCTCTCAGGAACTAGCTGATGACTTTCGCATGTGTCGTCACATGACATCCTTCAGATCCCTCAAGCAAGATTTGTGGGAAGTATCGGTTCATATCGGTTCAGCAAAGCCTTGGGATCTGTCAGTATTCTGTTGGTGAATGTCAGCAAGCTGATGTTTCTGTCTTTGACGCTCCGACTCTTCAGCTCTTGTGTGTCCCAAAGATGGTCACATCAACAATCCCGGCAGTGTTGACAAGAGTGATTTGACATTGAGCGTATATGAGCACATATGGCTTTCACGTATGACAGCTCCCTTGTTTCACATGGACAGTGACAAGCGAGCTTGTCTGTAGCGGTGCTTGTAAGAAGGGAAGAATGGGTAGTTCTGAGAGGTGCAGGAGGTGCAGGACAGTGCAGGACAGTTCAGCACCACGGCAAAACCAGTCCAAAAGATCCAAAAAAGGATCCACAACGATGCACAAGAATTGGCATAACTGGCCAAATACTTAATGATTGCGTCCCATTTGCTAGTCGCTGCTAGTCGCTGCTAGTCCAAGTTCAAGCCCCTATGCGAAGCCATGAAGTGCTGCTGAATGTGGGTCTCTTTTGGGGCGTCCGTGCGAGACTCGACAAATGTCCAGGCACTGCGACATGGCCACATTTTTGGTTAGGTTTTCGTTGGGTCATGATGCCCAGTGAGACATGTGCAGAATCACCGTTCTCATTCATCACTTTTCAATACTTTTCACTAATTGATACGATACATATCTATACATTCATCAAGTATACATCATTGCACGATGCCTTCTGGTACACTATATTTCCGTACCATGCTGTCCCAAATCCCTTCAATGAAGCTACCCGTGGCAGGTGAGGATCGATCCAGCGATGGCACATGTACCATTGACGGAGGCGCCGGCCTCAAAAAAGATCACATCAATCGAAGGAAGCGGACGTTCCATTTGAAGATCTAGCCGAAGGGACATATCATATTGATAACAATATTTGCCGAACCATATTGAGTGCATTCTTGGAAGGTTCATTTCTTCTGCTACATATAATTTGTATTGTGAGATGTGTTTGAACTCTGGCTCTGGGATCATAAAGACCACGCACATCTCAACGTCGCAGATGCGGACCATCATGAGCACAAAGATAGCAACTTAGCCTGATCTAAAGTTTCTTATAATTATAACTTACAAGTACCTTTAATGCGTTAGTCAGCTAGCAGCGGGTAGAGAGGCTGGTAGTAAAAGCACTTCCTCAAGAAGGTGCCACAGTGAAGATTACGTTGTTTTGTCGGGCTTGGGGTGGGGTCACGTGTGACAAATTGAATCTGAATCTATGCCGGCTGGGAGCACAACGAGCACCAACAGGTTGAGAGGAGACTCCTCGTCGTTGAAATGATAGAGAATATGGCAAGAGAAGTGAAGTAGTATGCAGGAAGTCTGGTTTGTATAAGATGTATAAGTAGGAAACGCGCATCAATTGGTAGGTAGTAGTAGAGTAGAGACAAGAGATATCAGGGAAGGACTGCATCCATTATACAGTGATGGCGGAGCAGTCCAGGCCGCTCCTGGTGGCTACTTACCCTGTTATATAATCAATGCAATGCGCGTGTTTGTTTGTTTGTTTGTTCGTTCGTTCGTTCGTTCGTTCGTTTGTTTGTTTGTTTGTTTGTTTGTTGTGTGTTTGTTTGTTTGTTTGTTTGTTTGTTTGTTTGTTCGTTCGTTCGTTCGTTTGTTTGTTTGTTTGTTGTGTGTTTGTTTGTTTGTTTGTTTGTTTGTTTGTTTGTGTGTTTGTGTGTTTGTGTGTTTGTGTGTTTGTTTGTTTGTTTGTTTGTTTGTTTGTTTGTTTGTGTGTGTGTGTTTGTGTGTGTGTTTGTTTGTTTGTTTGTTTGTTGCTTGTGTGTTTGTTTGTTTGTTTGTTTGTTTGTGTGTTTGTTTGTGTGTTTGTTTGTGTGTTTGTTTGTTTGTTTGTTTGTTTGTTTGTTTGTTTGTGTGTGTGTTTGTTTGTTTGTGTGTTTGTTTGTTTGTTTGTCTGTCTGTCTGTCTGTTTGTTTGTTTGTTTGTTTGTGTGTTTGTTTGTGTGTTTGTTTGTTTGTGTGTGTGTGTTTGTTTGTTTGTTTGTTTGGTTGGTTGGTTGGTTGGTTTGTTTGTTTGTTGTTTGTTTGTTTGTTTGTTTGTTTATTTCTGCACGTGTGATTGTCCCACATTCTCGCAATACAATGTACAGACTACAGATGATCAAACAATATCAAACATAGAAATTCAAGCGTGACTGCACACAAGGTAGCTTTACTGCATTCCCGATGGTGTGCAAAACAAATTAAACATATAATGGAGTGTGCCTTGATATGACTGAACATGGTGAAACCATGTTAAAGCAAGACTTCGCACGGCTTCACATCATACGGAATCGGTTTTTACTAGTTACTAGTTACCAAGACTCGCAAGATATTATTGCAAGAGGAAACCAAGCTGTGCGACAAGACATGCACATGTTCACAGGCTTGCTGGTGTTTGGAACATATTTTTAACATGTTCATAGGATCTTCCGATGATCCACAGGAATGGGGCTTGACAGTTGTCGTATTTCTCGTGATAGTACAGAGTATGATGCAACTTGACAGCGAGTAGGACAGGAGCATAGATGCAACAACCGCCTAACCTTGATGAGGAGGTTTTTGGGTTTGTTTGTGGGGTTGCAAATGGTCTTGATAGAATATCACATGTCCCTTTCTTGCAACACCCCCTTATGGCCCGATCAGAGCCAGACTCAGATCTGCAAAGGCTTTGTTTGCTTGCAGCTCCTGGACGAGCATGGTCATCCGCGGGACTTTGCACCAGCAAAAGACTGGTGGAACATAACGGGTCAATCAGCGCACAAATGGGCAGCTTGGATCAAGACAGACGAGAATCCGTGCTTGATGGCGTCCTTGAATAGCAGTGATACCAAATGGCATCACTGCAGAGTTGACAGACTTTGCGGCTTTACTATTTATCACATAATTACGTACTTTGGTGTCACAGTGTCAATCTGTGTAGAATTAGAAAACCCAATCTGGCTGCATACTGCATGTTGCTAGAAAGGGCAGAAACAAGATTGCCTGCATTTGCCTACACATGCATTCATGAACATCCCAAACCGGGCGCAAAACATTGCTTGAAACCTTTTAGTCTTCATACATTTTCATACTGTGAATCACTGGCGCATGGTTCGCTTACAACATCCTCCAACATATTTACACGTTGCCTTTGACCCATTGAAACATCATACCAAAGCGCCGCTCCCCATACTCTACCTATATAATATTCTGCATTAGGCTATCCGAAGCACGGCAAGCACTAGTTTTGGAACATTTCCCCAACAGAACAAGCATTAGCAAGGACAACAACCACAAAATTAACTAGCAGACACTAGCTACGTGACATCACATGAGTACTTTAAGACCCCACAAGATCCAAGACGGCCACATACTGCACCAGTCAGCCGTGTGGGTCCATTGGTGCATGTGAATGCCGAAAGTCGACTGAGCTCTGTTTTCTTTGCTTGAGATCTGAGGATGCCCGGATTCGGAGCAACGGTGGAGATTCTTGGTGTGTTTGCGCTACGTGCGCGTCCGAGATTGTGGACAAGGCACCGTCGGCGTCAAGGAATCTCAGAGAAACCCTTCTCTAGGCCACTTTATTTATTTTTATGCCCTTGTTTCTCATATGTTGTGCTTTGATGTGCTTTGGCACCATGCTCTTTCACTTGCATTTCTCTTCTCAAAAGCTGGCGTGCCAAGCCTGCCTCGTTTTTGTGGCTATGGCACGGAAAAGGTCTCCAACATTCTCCAAGGCTCAAACAATTTGGTAGCGATGTAAGTTGATCAGCTCCACTAGCAATCAGACTGCATCAAGATGAGTAGTGCTATGATGGGGGAAGTTTTTGTGTGAGCATGGGGCATCCTAGAAAGCATCACCTTTAGGTTAGGTGTGCAGTAGCATGCAACAGAGAAAGGAATGATTTGAAGCTTGATCTTTGCAAGAAAGGTTGGCTGCCATGCGATGCCCATCCGCTGCAACGCAACGAATAAGCAAGACATTTTTGGCATCAACTTGCCTGAGTATGGCTCCTTAGACTCTCAGCTCCTGCAGTCAGAAAGAATCCTAAGGGAATTTGGGGAGATGTAAGTTTTTTTTTTTTTATAACCTATGTTTCTATCGTCTAGCAGTCTAGCCCTGGTTTTGGCCGCGTCATCGAATACCTCCAATTTAGCCAAGTACACTATGTTTATTGTTTGACAAGTGAGTGCTTAATGGGCATCAGCTTATCATGGATTGTTAATGATGCGTTGATATTCTTTGGCCAGCAGGCTATTCCTTATGTAGATTGCTTTGGCCATGATGAAGGCAGACTTCTTTGAAGTACAGGGCATCTATGATGGTCATTTGCCATGCTGGCTAGGTTCGAGCTACACACCCGGTCTGATCCTTTTCAAACAGTGCATTCCTCTCTTAGGAGAGATGTCTTCGTCTAAAATGCGGCTTTTCATCCTTGTGGGACGCCAATCTGGATGACTTACAAAGAGATCTGCAGGGTGGCGACTTGGCTTTGGATCCGTATGTGCGACCTATCCGTGTTTTGGCGTTCCCTTCAATCCCTAGAAGATGCACCGCTGTCAGATGACATGGAGACCTTGTTAGTAGTGGTTTAATCAGATTTATACAATCAGTGATGGCCAAATCTGTTGTGGCATCCTGAGGCTCCTGGGTCCAATCCACAGTGGTTTTGGGTTGCGCTTTTGCAGCAGCTACTGCTTTGGCCCTTCTTCTGAGGAGGACTCACAATGCGCAAATCATTTCAGGGCGGTTCCCTACGCTCCTTTTTTCCTCAGCATCGATCAAGCTGGCACCGGCTAACCTCGCACCGGTAGAACACAGCACCATGAGAGTTCCAGTTCACTCCTGGTATGCATTCAGGAGTGTCAAGCAGTATTGACCATTCAAACAGTAGGGGTAGGGGGGAAGCATCTAGAACAGCAATGAAGTATATTTTGTGCACTCTATCTGATTTTGGGGCTGAGCAGTTCCGATACTTCATAGCGTCATACTGTGTGTTTCTCTTGATTTGTCTCAAGTGTACACACTGCAGTCTTTCGCTTTACTGATATGTCATGATTGTCATGTCTCTTTGTGGATCTCTCTGTTTTAATGTACATCAGTTGTAGATCTCAGATGCTGCCGGCACCTCCTGGAATCAAATCTCCGACAGGCTCTTGGCAGTGTCAAACTCGCCTCGTTATGAAGCCGTGGACACCAGCGATGGTGAGGGCCTGTTGGACGAGGCGGCTGCAGTTAGACCATCATGGACCATCATTGAATCATGAACCACAAGGGGAGGCAGGCAGTCCCTCAACAGTTCCTCAACATTGTAAAATAGTGTAAATGTTATAAAACAACACATAATGCAAACATGATGCAGGCATATGCGATGCATATGCAGACATTGAATAGGATTGGCATGTTCCAACATGTTCCAGTGAATGGCCATCATTCTATTTCGACTCTTTCGACGGCGTCCTCCGGTGCAAATGTACGCTTGCTGCATGGTAAAATTCGGGGCCGAATCACTATGCTGAGGTGTTCAAAAAAGTGAACAGATGCACAGTTTGAGTCTGAGGATAGTTTAGGGCTTGAGAGCTGCTGCCATCAAAGGTCGCATTTCTGAAGGCATGCTATGTGTTGCAATGTAGTGGGCTGCTGTGAATGATGGTCTTGGGGCTCTTGGACGTCACCATGTTGGCGTTTGTAAGGTCTGCATGACCGACTCTTCTCCTTGACCCAGAAATGCTTCACATTATTTCATATTGCTTCATGTGTCACGCGTCAAAAACTAGTAACAGCGCATGAGAAGCTGAATAGCCGCGTGTCAGAAACTCAAAATCAGCGCGTCAGAAACTAAAACACAGGCGTCAGAAACTAAACTATGCCCTTCAGAATCTAAAATGCGCGCAACAGAAACAAAGTCTCACCCCCTCTAAGCATTATGCTGAATGGACTATTACCTTTCAATTCATCCTGATAAGGGACCAAGTTCGCTACCCCCTCTGACCCCCATGTTGACATGAGATATTACCTTCAGCTTATCTTCATAAGGGATCGAATCCGCCGCCCCCTCTGACCACTGTGTTGCCATGAGATATTACCTGCAACTTATTTGTATAAGGAAGTTTGTTTCTGAAGCAAGGTTTTTAGTTTCCGAAGCACTGGTTTAGGTTTCTTGACACACGGTTTTAGTTTCCGATTCATCGATTTTAGTTTCCGACACACGGCTTGGCCCAAATACGATTGTAGCCTGAAGGCGATGAAAAAGATGGAGGTGTATGCAAGGTATTCCAAGGGTGAGGTATGGCCAAACCATGCCGAAAAGTCTAGTTTGTTTGTTTGGGATTCCGTCCTTGACACGCACCAAAAGAAAGTGTGAAATTGTTTGAAGTATCCCGCATCCCCTTGCACGCCATGAGACGGCCAGTACACCAGCCTATTTGATCACTAAGAATCCTTTATCAAACCTTGTTCGGATCAAACACGCACTCGGCAGGAGAGGTTCCTGTGCCCATGCGCAGAATGATGCGGAAGGGCCACAGCATTCTGTTTTCAGCGTGTGTGAGATGCGGAGCCAGGACATTGCTCCCGTGAAAGGCCCTGTGAGAATTGTACAGGGCAGCGCCAAAGATTCCATGAAAAGGCTTGCAATGGCTCCACCAGAATACTGCACCACAAATTGAGATTAGAAGATTTAGAAACTGTTTAAATCTCAAGTATTCAAGATACTCAAGGCGTCCAAGGGTTGAAAGCTGAGCTGTGAAAACATTTCATTAGAAAGGAATTGCGTGATTAGGTGTCCTTGGTCGTCAGCCATTTTGGTCGGCAGCTTTTATGCTTCTCCTCAAGGTCTAGGCGGTTGATTTGGTGATGTATGAGCTTATTGCATCCAATTTGTTTTTTAGACAATGGATGACAATGGAACATAATGGAACCTTCAATTGGCTATGGCATGCCGCAGAAAGGATTTCGTTTCCTAGGATCAACCTGAAAGTCATCACATTCAAGAGCCCACATGATGCCGTGCAAACAAAACGTAGCCAAGCACATCCAAGTACAAAGAATCAGTTCTGGGCTCACATGCCATAACTACATATTGAGCTTATTATGTTGGTTGTGGCATTTGCAGTATATTTTCGGACTCTTTTTGAAAAGCCTACTGATTCCAATGGACAGTGTTCTGTTCACCTTTGCTATCGACTGCTTTATTAAATTTATTCAGCGTCGAGGCGAGGGCCGAGGGCTTATGAGGACCTGATATTCAGAAAGTATTTTGACCATTTTTGACCTTGATCAACACGAGTCTAACACGATTTGTGCACACGAGTCTGAAGGATCTGAAGGTTGATGGGCGGCTGTGCTACTTAGAAGTAGAATCCGCGCTTTTGCCAGGCATCAAGTCTTGAGCGGGGCCTTCGCTGCATGATGCTTCAGGCCAGCTAATGTGTTTCCATAGCGGCTGTTGCCACTGACCTGTAGGTACCAACGTAATCTGCAGGCTATCACTTTAGAATACTTTAGACACACACACAGACGCATCAGGACTGGTAGCAATGTCTTCGAGTTCCTCCAGAGCAGCCCGGGGGCTGAGTTCGCAGAGGGCATGTTCTACTATGATATGAACCGATTACTCATTGAAACATGGTTTGATTACGTTTGATTCGCATATAAATCGCCTGGATGTTGGTGATGTATGGTGATTTGCGACTACCAACCAGCAAATTCATAGCGTGTAGCCTCATGGTGCCCCATTCAAGATGCTGAATGCCTTGAAACCAGGCAGAGCTATTCCATGTTGTGATTGTCACAATTGTCTTATTTGTACATAGTTGTCACAGTTGTCGCATGCCAGGTGCTACGTTCGGTGTGCCTGACCGGTTGAATGCTCTTGGCCGTCACCGGGAAAACCATCACCGATACCACAGCGGCTTTTGGGCGTTGCTTCGTTGAAGCGTGCTGCTACCCAACATTCAGGGGAATTGACCGATCAATAGATACGATTTTTAGGCGAATCCAAATCGATCCACTGCATCTGTCTATAGTATATATATATAGATTTCCATATCTACCAGATCTAGAGAGCAGGTGAGGGAAATTGAGCCGCCAGGCGGGTCTTAGCTTGATATCTGGTGCCGATGTGACCGTATCACCAAGGCGCTGAGAGTGGATAGGGCAGATAGGGTTCTCTCAGTGTTATTATGTTATAATACCATATCTGGCAAGAATGCCTTATACATTTGGCTAACGGAAGTGAAGAACGAAGCAGTACATACAGTACACCAAGAACCAGAACCAGCCTTCAAGATATGCCCTTACTGGATCTCATGCCACGCCACTCTGCCTCAAAAGAAGGGTGAAGGTCATGCATTTGCAAGTTGCCTGGAAGTATATATATATATATACAGAGGTCAAGTCGGCATTGCACTGGGAAGCTTCAAGCACAAACATTGCTTGTAGGTGTTCACAGTGCATAGAAATGATGCCGTGCAGTGGCGTCGATGCTGCTTTCGACACCTGTTTGCTCGGATACTTGTCTCCGCACTGCCCTTGTCCCAAAGAATGCACGGCCAATGTGCCAATGTGATAGGCCAGACAAGCCAACACTTGAACTTCGCTCTCGCTCCACGACTGACTCTGCTTTGCCCATAAATATCTATGCCAGAGGCTCAGCACAGCTAAGATTGGTAAGGACCGTTTTAGCTTTGCGTGGCTCTGTGGCGGCCTTACCACAGGGGATTGAGGCTGTCGTGGGAGCATGGACAATGTGACAATCTATATACGGTAATTATACTTATACGGATATATACAGGGTGTGAGCACAGTTCCTGTCATTGCAAGGGCTGCATAGAATCATATTCATAATAAGGCATCATAGGACATCATAGGACATCATGGAACGACCATTCGTTGGCAATAACCCGGTAGTTGGTAATGAATCAACTACACACTGCTGGTACATCGTTCTTTCCGTGATGTGGTTCCCGTCGGAAGATCACCAGCACACTCAAATGTGCACAATTTGAACAGGTGGATGTTGAGCTTCAACCAAAATGCAACAGAAACCCGTACAGTAGGAAAAGAAAGAGACAGGATACACACATTAGAATCATTAGCAGGGTTTCAGCCTCCTTGAGTACCTACCCAGATCTTTCACAGAAAGCTGAATGAACATGAATGAACGAAAAATCGACTCTGCATCTGCTCGCAAACAGCTTATCTTTAAGGTAGCTGCATGTAGCTGTTCTGACTGGATGTCATGCTGATTAGCCTCTCGAGATTCAAGCGGCTAAATATTCAAGAATAGAGCACAGAGGAATCGTTAGACGTTTGAAGGTTTCTGATGCAGTCATCTACTCCCAGAAACGCCTGCTATCTTCGCCTAAGATGCCTAAGGCTGAGGCAGACTCATCTCCGGCTGCGAGCCAGAAGTTACGCCAGTCTGATGGCCCAGATACATCTTTGTATGATCAAAAACCGATCCGGAAACTATCTGCGATTCAGAAACTCTGATTCAGAAGCTACGCTTCAGAAACCATTTGCTTCCATTCAGAACCACCTGCGATTCAGAATCTTTACATGATTCAGAAAATGTTTCCGTTGATTCAGAATTTTCCTGGGATTCAGAAACTACTGCGAATTTGAAACTTCTACTATTCAGATCCCATAAGATCCACAAGTCAACCATTCAGAACCTATTGAATTTCGTGCGATTCAGAAACGCATGTGATTGATAGGTAGGAAAACATATTGCGATTCAGAAACTGCCTCGTTTCAGACATTAAATTGCTCCAACTCAAAAGCTCAGCGACCTAGAAACTACAGTACTGTATGTGAAACTGTTGTGATCATGGCCAGAGCAAAAACTCAAACCCATGAGCATTGATCTTTATTAATTAGTAATTTCAGAAACCATGAGAAACCAACCCCCCATGGAAGTGTGATTTTCATAGTCATTTTAGAATTTCATCCCCATGGATTTGATATCTACTATAATATATATATTTGTTTAAAAGAAATATAGTCATAGTATCATATAGTATCCTTGTACCAGTCTCCTCTAGGATATCAGGTAGATTGACCCCCTATAGAAGACCATTTTCTAGACCCTCAATATCCTATAATGTAGTTTTAAGCCTAAGCTTTATGAGATACCTGCATTTTCTAGAGGACATATATTAAGATCCCTGAGGTCTATACACGTACGACTTTAGTTTGTCCAAAATATTCAATTTGAGTGCCCCCTGCAATTTTTCAACGAAAATTTGAATAACAGGTTTTGAAAATGCACTTTGATAAGACAGAGTGTAATTTTCTAGTGTGCCATAGTGTGCTTGATATTGGTTTGAGCCCACTGAATGATTTTTTTGGGTCCTTAATTATTTTTACCACTTCCATGTGTAGAAAATCAGATGTGCCAACCCGACCGGGTTGACCCGTACAGGGATGTCATATACATATGAGTCATATCAGATTATCAAAGTCTGTCAAGGAGCAGATATATTCTGCAGATCGTGTTTTGACTGTTTCGAGTCTCGTCTGGCCGCCGTCTGGGCCACTTGTGAGGCCCACTGGACTTGGCTTGATGCCTTCCTACTCAGCCCCACGGCTTCGACCTTCCTCAGCCAAGCTGGAGCCACAACCAACGGTCGCAAGGCCATGGGCGGTAGAAGACTTGCCTCTCTGTCAACGCTACTTGAAACATCTTGAAACTGTCACTATTTGTCACTCATTTCAGAGAAACCTACTGGACCTACTGATGATCATTGATTTGCGGCAGAGTCGCGATGCTTGATGATGCTTGCTATTCTTTGGGTGATAAATCTGCCGCATTCGGCTCCGTTGAATCTGACGGCGAGGAACACGCGAGCTTTGAAAAGGCATACCACCCTTGATTCTAAGGTGAGACGCCACTCGGCTAGACTTTGGATATTTCGAAATGAGCGTAAAAATTGTCGTTTGAAAGTAGCACATCAGTAATCAGAATGCATTCTGGCGAAGTGTTTTTTCGAATTCCAATTCTCCCGTGAAACTCTCAGATTTGCTGAACCCGCAACTTTTCAAGCTCTTTCCACGAAGTGCTGCTGTGCCGATACTCACAATATTCACATGACAAAAAGGCATCCATTTGGTTTCTTTGAATTTGCCGAGGGTTGCTAGAGAGTCCTGAGCCTGGGTGTGACCCTCAGACATTGTCAGTGTGATTTGATGTGATTTGCAAGTGGAATGCCAAGTTGATTTTGCAAGGTGCTATAGACTATATTTGGTAGCGAGGTTTTGGAGGTTTCACAGGTTCGCCCCCAAGACTCTAGACAGACATATTTTGCAACAACATTCTGACATGAAGTAAATGTAAGTAAATAATATACTAGTAGGATATAGTAGGATGATATAGGATCACATATGGCTAATGTGTGTTTTCCCACCGGTCCAGAGAAGGCGGATTCATTCAGCTATATACAGATCACATCACAGCTGAAAATGATACGGGGGATACTGCCCAATCGTGTGTACACAAGACTGACACAGGTTCGCCAGTTCACCAGTAGAGGGTGCCGTCGGTTGGAGTGACAAAGTTTGCTCATTGTTGGTGCCTTTAGAGTCTTTAGAGTTTTAGAGTCTTGAATGGAAGGCTTTGGGGACAGCGCGCAGAGGGCTTTCCAGTATTAGAGGTATCAGTGTGTATTCGGTGAACCTGCCTGCTTGATCATCTAAATCTAGATAATCTAGATAGATGTGATAAAATGAATTAAAATGAGATCAAATTATATAGTGAAGCGGCCCCATGAGCACACAGCAACAATGTGCAACTTGCCGCGCTTGCCGTGCAACTTGCCCTTTTCTATCTTTTTCTTGGTTTGTCTTGCAGGTACTGCGAAGAAGTGCTGGGCGCCTCAACCGGCATGATGGGAAGAACAAGGACAGGCTCAGTCAAATTGCATCCAACTGCCACTCAAGTCATATCAGGTCAAGTTAGGTCAAGTATCTCAAGACTCAGAAGATGCTATGGCATTATGGGTATGAGGCCTTTGCCTGAAAAATGTGACGACCTCACTGAGGCCTCATCCAGCCATCAAAGATTTGGCAGATTTTCAAGCGGCTTCTCTTTGCGGCAGGGTCACGGAAAAGGAGGAAGAATTGGTTGACGGCAGGGAAACACGGAGACATTACTGCAACACGCAATTCGTAGCATGGTGTGGTTTCGACGTAGAACTGTAAAAAGCCTTGCAGATAAACCAAAGTGTTTTAGTGGGAGTCATGCACGTGCTTTGCTATTCCTGCTGATGGATGGTTTGAAGCGGGAACAACCATGACGATTGAATGACGGTGAGTCGTTGCATGTCGTTGCATATTTTACTACTCTTTACTACGTATGACACAAAGGTGTATGCCCGCGCATAATGAGAAACCATTGATTACCTTTATATATACAATTATATACAGTAATGTAATAATACTGGCGCATACTTTTCCATTCTCATATAAGATGTGTACGCGTTACTATCACGTGATTATTATTGACAATGTTTGACTATTTGTTGTTTATACATACATATATATATAATTATATATATATATGCATAATATGCTTTCAATAATGCATTTATTCTACTTTTCTTTAAGCATACACATGCGCGCGCCCATTTCCATGCAATAACAGCAAGTGTATGAATGAATGCGTGTATTTTCGTGTATATATAATGTAAATAACATTTATATATATATATATATATACATCTATGTACATGTGCATGATATTGTGCTGTGTTGTCTACAGGCCAAAAAATGTACATGCGGGGGCATGCTGATCAGCCTCCCTGGCTCCGACAGGACCGGTACCAGCCTTATTTTAGTGGAAAGCGCATGGACTTCAGCAAACTTGGCTGGGGTGCTTGGCATTGCTTCACTGAGACATTTTGGCATTTCAGTTTCTGTTTGGCTTTGAGAGTTTGTTCCACGAAAGCGGCTTTTGAGATTCTCGAAAGTGTAACAAGTTTTTAACCTTGGCGATTCCAGCTGACCTACTGGTAGGTTTGGGTGCGGTTTGGGTTGACAATGCAAGGCGTTGACGTTGTTGATGTGACACTTCTCAAGCAGTTTGAGGCTTTGAGGTTAGTTTAGCCGCTCCTTAAGTGAAGTTTCCCAAAAAGCATTCTTCAGTTCCCATTTCCTTTCAACTTCCAGTGTGATGTTGCTGTTGTATGACTGGTTAGACTCAAGTTCATTTCTTTTCATATATACCATTTAGGAGTCCCTAGGGGTATGGTCCAGTTTATCTTGCATTTCTTGTTAGAATCCTGTAGACTTTGATTTCACTTGAGCTTAGATGGTCCATGATGGTACTGTAGCTACTGATAATTTTGTGCATATGCACCCAAACACAAACACACACGGAGACGCATGATCAGTGCATATGAATATATGGACAGATGTTTTACCATGTTTAAATTGTTTCATGATTGTGCACGCTTTAGTATGTGAAGGATTGGCAGGTACCCTGCAAACATGGTCGGTTGTTACAGTATTTTGATATGATTTTGAAAGACGATTGATGACTTAATTGCAAGACATTTCAAACTCAAACCTTCACATACGCCTGCAAATCAATATTGGGGTTCAGAGGGTGCAACATGTGGGTGGTGACATTGTTGCTGCCGCTCGCTGCTGCAACTTTAGGCATCAATGAGTATAAAGTGCAGGAGGAGCTATCAAGCAATGTTGATTCTATGATTCTATGATTCATAATTAGGCTTCCAGGCACGTTTATGCTATGCTTGGCTTGAACGCTCTCATTTTCTGTTAAGGCCAATTTGATGTCGGGGACTCAGTTCAATCTTAAGTCATCTTAAGTCGGAAATAGGTGGAGTACTGTAGACTGCTGGACGGTGCAACTACCAGGAACACCTGCTATAAAAAGTTCATGCGAAAAATGCCAAGAAATCCAAGAATACCCAAGAATGGTATAGAGCGGGACGACAGGCGTAGTTGGTGAAGTATGCCAGGCCTAGTCAACAGTTTCCGGATTGCTTCCACATGTGAAAGGGTTTAGGTTTACTGAAGGTGTCAAAAGGCTGAGATGTCAATGGCATTCGACAGGATTGTGACACTGGTCTCCTTGGAGCCAACTCAAAATTCAACTCAAGGAGCTACCCCACAACATTGGGGTGCATTGCCAGAGAGGCAAGAAGGACGACTCACCCAACCAGGACTTGGATCCAAGCATCGTGAGACTGCACGGATGTGCACAGGGTTCCCAAATGTTCCCAGACGCACAGCTGTGCTCCGTGCCACTCTAGTTTTTGTCTCGTGAGATCTAGTGACTATAGTGAGTCTTTCTTGATCGAGAGTGAGCTAAAGAAATGAAAAAAAACATGACAAGACATGTTCAGCTCATGTCCTCTATCCTTAGGCAAAGATAAAGAAGATGTTCAAGCATGCCAACTCGAACATTCATTCAACCGACGGTGGGTACAGGTTTGTCCTGCATATTTGAAATGGTGAACAAATCAGCTGACGAATGATCAAAGATTTTGGTTCCGTCACATCTTCGCTGACGAGGATGATTTCTTCGTGCTGCAGACCAATGAGTGGCTTTTCTGCGGAGCCACGGCCTTTGACAAACCATGACAAACCTGTATAGATACGCTTGGCCGCAGCCAGCCGAGCCACATCCTGCCAAAGTCGTTTGGAGCATTCTGAAGCAATGCCTTAATACTTTGAGACTGTCATCTCTCAGTTTTTCCTCTCTCTCTCTATATATAACTTATATATCTGTGTGTGTGGCTCTTCTCTTGGCATGTGACCCAATTTGATCTACAATGCATGCAGCATAATGATCGATGCTATATTTCGCACAAACACGCGTCACCCATTTTACCCAAGCATAGCGCGTACATGCGCGTACAATTACTAGTTTACATAATTTGAATAATAGGGTTGCATGCTTCAAACTTGTAGCAACATCAAAGTCATCAAAGCCCCCAAAAATATCATGCACGAAGGACAGGTACGCCCGGCCTTCTCTCGAAAAATATTTGGCACTGACAAGAGCTCATGCCACTGCCCAAGCATTGAACAGATAGATTGGGGCACTAGCAAGCCCACGAAGCACGAGGATACGAAAGCCTCCGCTAGTGGACAGCCCATTCTCTTCAGGTGTCAAAAACAAGATGGCCCTTCATTTTTTGCAAAATCAAAGGTATTGGTTTGAAACCTTTGGCCTGGTCAATGTTTTCTGCCAAAAGGCAGATTTTGGCAATCAAGAATAGATAAATATAGAAAAGTATTGCTTTAACCAAGACGAATCATATTCTTTATAGCCGTCCTGCGTGCTGACTGAGGTAGCCGACGGCCATGGGGAGAACGGTCACAAGGTATCCCACTTTGTCCAGGCTTCCGCATATGTATGCTGAGCGGATTCTGCTACAGCATCCTGTGATACTGTATTCCGTGGGAGTGCGAATGCAGCGCAGAATCAGCACAGATTTCTACGTGATTCTATGTGAAATTGCCAGGAGCAGTTGCCTCAAGCAATACTCCAGCGTCTCAAGCTGGGCCACTTTGCGAACTGGAGGAGCTGGATTCAAAAGAGAGCGAGAAGCATCGAGAAGCTTTGTAAGGTTTTGCCCATCTTTGACATCATGCACTTCTCCTTTTGCTATCTTGCTTGTAGTCTCTTTATATCAAAACTTTATACTTTTTTTCCGTAGCATTGCGTTGCTTGGCATTGCTCGCAGGACATCGGTTGTCGGAGCAGTTGATGAAGTGCAGACGAAATTGCAGAAACAGATCCCTGATGAGGTGCCGCCGACTGGTGATGACTTTCTGACTTCTTTGAGAGTCAACTGAGCCAACAACTTGCGTTTTGAAGCGTTCGTGAGACAGTAATTTTGGGGCGAGAATCGTCGCATATCAGACAGCAAAATAAAAAGTGCCTCAAGGGCACATTGCATCAAAAGAAGATGACAGACAGTCCAAAATTGTCACTGCGAGTTGCCAGTCGCTGCAGTTGGTTTTGTTCAATTCTTTTTCTGCAGGCCTCAGAGTCTGGAAGCACAGCCTCGATGACCTTTCTTTCCAAAGATGAATCAGGCGATGGCTTGGAGAACTCCAGGGAGAGACTTCTCTGCATATGATGCTAGCATATTCTAGCTCATAAAGAAGAGGAGACAAGGAGGAGTTTAAAAAACTGGAAAGAGAGCTCAAGAAAGTACAGGTAAATATGTTATTCTTCAGATCGCACTTTCTGTTCTATGATGCATGTGGGCGAGTTCAAACGCTGCCGAATTCCAAGTAAAACTTGACCTCCTTCGTATGAGTAGCACCTTGTGATTGGAGATGATGTTCAGAGGACATCTTGTTTCTGCAACCCCTTGTGCCGTTCCCGCTGCCAGCAAAACAACGATAGCCGCATTTTTGGGCGGGTCAATTGACTTGCGAATGATCTTGGATAAAGAATCAGAATCATAGAATGAGCGCTGGCACCGTTTCGAGCATAAGACGCGGGTGCGTCAGGGGCATGGAAATTTCAGTCAGCCTTCATCGGCGATTCCGTGATAGTGTGAACTGGCTGAAATGTTGGCAACTCGATCTCACAGAAATAGGGGTGAGGAGTGTGGCAACTTATTACTGTGAATACCGTTAAATCGGCTAAGTTTGAGAAAAGAGTTCCAGGTGCTTGCTGAAAAGTGCGTCCAGTGTAATTATCCATAACAGAAAGCGAAGCACCTCCTGAACTTTGCAGTGTGTTGTTCAGCTTGCCTGTGACGTCGGTGGAATTCTGAAAACGTGGCAACTCAAAAGGCAGAGGCAATATGTCAATATGAGGCAATGATCAAAACCATGTGACTCATGTGACTCCGCACCAGGTACGCAAGGCGGCCAAGGGACGCTTTGACTTTTCAGGCCAGCTGGACAGGACCAGGATCTCAACGATCAGTACCTATCATTTACTATCATCTACAACAATGTTACGTTTTGATATGTTTTGATATTGATATGTACATGCCCTCAATTTCCCTTGCATTATTGTTCTTGGGCTTTGGGCCGCGCCTAGAATCGCACAAAATCAATGAACATCATCCATGCTGTACCGTTGGACCGTTGGACGAATGATAATTAAATTATTTAAGGGCTGCCGCCCCTGCCGCCGACCCCGGAAAAGAATAAGTAAAGGTTCTCTTGCCGAAGTAAACATTCGTAAGGTTCCGCATGTTTTGCGGACCATGCAACTGTTCGAGAAAGTAAAACAATATCTGGCAAAATATACCTGATGCAGATGACTTATAGGCCTTGAGCAGGTGCCGCAATGTTCCAATTTGATCAAGGGCTGGTGAAACAGGCAAGAGTGACGAGACAGTTGACATGAAGCTTGCTCTGAACTGAACAACACATGTATGTGCATTTGGACTGAGAGACCTAAGACTAAACTGCTAAAAGCTATTAGGACAAGAAAGCTGCAGCTTAGAGGTCACCACATATCATCACAAAGACCTAAGGTGTGGTGCATCATTTTTTTGTGTGCCACGCAAAAGTTATTTGTTTAGAGTTGTTAGAACGACATGCTGCAGATGTGACTTGCCCATGGTTATTTTGGCTATACTTTGCCCTTGCAGACTTCGACCCAAGTGAGGGAGCCAAGCCGTGGATCAAGAGGAAATTTCAAAATGTGAAGAAGTAAAACAGCTTCGAAAAAAGCTGAAATCCTAGAAAAGACACCTTTTTGGCGAGATTCTGTTGCCTGCAGCTGCTGGCAGTACTGCTGGCAGTAGAACAACTTCGAAAAAAAGCAGCTGCCGGCAGGAAAACACCATGGCTCTGAAGGACGAGCGAGTGCCAAAACCACGTTAAAAAACTCCCTAACGTGTCGTCTGAAATCTCCTAGAGAAACAACCTTTTTCGAGACTGCTAGCAGTAGAACAGCTTCGAAAAAAAGCAGCTACCGGCAAGCAGTAGAACAGCTTCGAAAAAAAGTAGCTGCCGGCAGGAAAACACCATGGCTCTGAAGGACGAGCGAGTGCCAAAACCACGTTAAAAAATTCCCTAACGTGTCATCTGAAATCTCCTAGACAAACAACCTTTTTCGAGACTGCTGGCAGCAGAACAGCTTCGAAAATCAATCGAAAAAAAGCAGTTGCCGGTAGGCAGTAGAACAGCGTCGAAAAAAAGTAGCCTAGAGTCCGAGAAAAACAGCGTTTTTCGAGAGATCGAGAGATTCTGTTGCCAGCCGCAACTGGCAGTAAAACAGCTTCGAAAAAAGCTGAAATCCTAGAAAAGAATCCCCCATGTATAGCTCACTATAAAGTGGACATCCTTTGCGCTTATAAAGTGGGTTTCCGGTCGCCACTTTATATACCGACAATGGGGGATAAAGCCGTGTTTTGCGCGAGAAACATGCCCTTGGACCTGGAAGATGACTTTATAGCAACGTTGGCTTTCCAGTTTATACCCGGCTGGTTCCCCACAAGGAAACGACTCAATATATGCGGCAATGCATTTTATAGACCGTTGGTTCCCTTCAAAGAATGGCCATAATATGTCACACCATCCACTTTATAGAAACATGTCTCCCCAATGATTTCGGGCCAATATCTTTCTGTTGGGGCTGTATACATGGCAAAGCACTTTATAGAGTGAAACTTGCCCTTTAAGAAGAAGAATTTGTGCTGCATCCAGGGCACTTTATAGAAAGAAAATTGCGGCAGAGCATTTTATAGAGTCATGAGATACATCACCCAAATCACTTTATAGAGCTGCCCAGGACCCCATTCACCCTGAGGACCCCTTTCAAGGGAAATCTTCTTCTCTATAAAGTGGCCAGTCCAGGTAAAACCCCTGAAAAAACAGAATCTATGTTGGACTGGCCACTTTATACCCCCTCCCCCAACAGAGAATGCCTCTATAAAGTGGCCAGTCCAGGTAAAACCCCTGAAAAAACAGAATCTATGTTGGACTGGCCACTTTATACCCCCTCCCCCAACAGAGAATGCCTCTATAAAGTGGCCAGTCCAGGTAAAACCCCTGAAAAAAAAACAATTTTTACCTGGACTGGCCACTTTATACCCCCTCCCCCAACAGAGAATGCCTCTATAAAGTGGCCAGTCCAGGTAAAACCCCTGAAAAAACACATTTTTACCTGGAATGGCCACTTTATACCCCCTCCCCCAACAGAGAATGCCTCTATAAAGTGGCCAGTCCAGGTAAAACCCCTGAAAAAACACATTTTTACCTGGAATGGCCACTTTATACCCCAGCCAGTGGGCTCCAGGACTTTGACCCGGAAACGGAAGGGCTGACAACAAGGTAAAGGGGGAAAACTACAACGGAGAGGTACAACGGGAAGGCTACCACAAGAAAATGAGACATGTCACGTTTATATACGTTTATTGTTTTCAATGTGTCATATAGATTGGCGATGATTGGTATATTGAATATGTTGTAGATGTATTTTGGAACATATGTATACCTATGATTCACACATCAATATAAATATATATAAATCATAAACACATGCCAAACCAAAAACTTTTAGCTGAGTATTGTATTCCCAATCTGTTGGCAAATGTCCAGCCGATTCACCATGCGTGACCCAACAAGATTCAAACTATGGATTGTTTACTTTTGAAAAAAAATACTGGGTGAATCTACGTATATCTATGACGACAATCTCCCAAAATCATCCTAAAAATCTATGGACATCTATGGACCAAAACCACGGCCACATGCCCATCCTCTATAAAATGGTTTGCAAGAAAGTTCAGCTCTATAAAGTGGCTTGATCACGTCATTTCTGGCAGCCCCACCCTCTGTATAAACTGGCCGGTCCATGCCCATCCTCTATAAAATTGTTTGCAAGAACCAGTAAAAAAATATTTTCGAAAGTAAACAATCCATAGTTTGAATCTTGTTGGGTCACGCATGGTGAATCGGCTGGACATTTGCCAACAGATTGGGAATACAATACTCAGCTAAAAGTTTTTGGTTTGGCATGTGTTTATGATTTATATATATTTATATTGATGTGTGAATCATAGGTATACATATGTTCCAAAATACATCTACAACATATTCAATATACCAATCATCGCCAATCTATATGACACATTGAAAACAATAAACGTATATAAACGTGACATGTCTCATTTTCTTGTGGTAGCCTTCCCGTTGTACCTCTCCGTTGTAGTTTTCCCCCTTTACCTTGTTGTCAGCCCTTCCGTTTCCGGGTCAAAGTCCTGGAGCCCACTGGCTGGGGTATAAAGTGGCCATTCCAGGTAAAAATGTGTTTTTTCAGGGGTTTTACCTGGACTGGCCACTTTATAGAGGCATTCTCTGTTGGGGGAGGGGGTATCCAACATAGATTCTGTTTTTTCAGGGGTTTTACCTGGACTGGCCACTTTATAGAGGCATTCTCTGTTGGGGGAGGGGGTATAAAGTGGCCAGTCCAACATAGATTCTGTTTTTTCAGGGGTTTTACTTGGACTGGCCACTTTATAGAGGCATTCTCTGTTGGGGGAGGGGGTATAAAGTGGCCAGTCCAACATAGATTCTGTTTTTTCAGGGGTTTTACCTGGACTGGCCACTTTATAGAGAAGAAGATTTCCCTTGAAAAATTCCTCAGGGTGAATGGGGTCCTGGGCGCGCGCGCGCGCGCGCCAAAAAGGTGTCAAAATTGGAGCCATTTTGGCGCGCGCGCGCGGCGCGACCAGGACCCCTTTCACCCCAAGGACCCCTTTCAAAGGAAAGTGTGTTAGAGGCATTCTCTGTTGGGGGAGGGGGTATAAAGTGGCCAGTCCAACATAGATTTTGTTTTACTAGATTCTGTTAACGACTTCGATATAGATATTTGTCTGGCTGTCGGTTTCGTTCGGTTTCGAAGTCATTCGAAGTCTTTTGGGTTCCCCATCGATGAGATCGATGATATTCCCCCAAGGTTTGAACGTGGCCCCTCCCAGACCCTCAGAACGATCCAAAAAATGGATAGTTTCTTGTGCGATCCAAAAAATAGATAGCGGCTATCCAATTTGTTTCTTGTGAAACGAAGGTCTTTTGGGGCAAGACTTGTTTGCGGCAAAGCTTTCTTGAGCCAAAATGCTGCAGGACGGCAATTGTAGAGCTTGTCTTGGCATCGTGTAAAGCG